CAAGTCTTCTCTATCATCTTCTAAGGAACCGGGCCTGGAAGATCGCAGTAGTCAGGGTTCAACCAGCTTAGCCTTAACTCATTTGCGATAAGCTAACTTAATCCCGCAGTGAGCTCTACGTTTTCATTCCTTGACAATGGCCTCGATTGAGAGTCCGAAACGTCGGGCAAATAAAATAATGGTCCTCGAGAGCGCCTTCCCGCCTTTTATTAAAATACCTAGACCTCGCATATTTTCGACTATACAGAATTAGATAACCTATATATAGGAAAATACAGATATCTCAAGAAAAGAAGAAATTGTTTGAGAAGAAGGAAATTTTAATCCCTATTTTCTCGAACTTGTTCCCCAACTTGTCGTCAGACTATGGCATGCGTACGAAAACAATTAACTAATTAACCGTGGATAGCCAAGGATTCTACCGTTGGCCAATGCGCGCGTCAATACGCTTTAAGTGCATTTTCTCAGTCCGTCATGCGCTCTTGAAAAGTTTGTATGTGGAATCTAAATTGATATGCCAATTGATGCATTCCTCATCTGCGAGCCCGTCTGTGATTTCCTGCTACAAATTCAGATTAAAAAGGAAGAAGGAACCATACCTTCCTCCTTCAGCCTCGGTTGACGTAGGAACTGGAGAAAAATAGTCAGTCTTTTAAAAAACTCTCGCGCTTTACATCAAGAAAGCAATTGCCTTTGTGTGTCACCTTTTGATTAAGTAGTTAATCTATCCGACCAACGCACTATTCAGAAGAGGAAACCTGCCGAATTTTTTTTGTATCCATTAAAGAATTCAAAAGGCGTTGGACAAAACTCAGAACCTAAATTGGCGGAAGAAAATTGTCTAGTGGGCGGTATTTCCTAGCGCGAAAGAAGGACGATTCGTTCGGCGAAAAAAATCATACAACCTTAGCGTGTCTCAAAATTAGATCAACACTGAACGCAATTGCCTGGGAAGAAAAATTGTTTTACTGAGACTTTTATCGTTTCCACTTCATACTCAAACATTGCGAGAAAATCTTTAAAACAAGTCTGAGAAAGTTAGCAGAAAACAGCTTCCCTAGAGTTACAAATCTGCGTGTGCTCAAGGTAGCTGGGTAATGTGTAGTGGATTAGAAAAAGCAGTAAAATGCGGTCATTTTTCAAAAATCATTTTTCTTTTGAATTGTTCGAGGATAAGAGAATCAACCGTTAGATCGCCTAATGTTATACAGCTGACGTATGCATCTCGCGTTAGATTCATGGAATATAAAATGGAGGATACGATCACTAGGCCTGAGTTTTCGGATTCCCCCTCAAACCCATCATCGGAGACTTTCACACGTTACAGCACGATTCAATTTGCCTTGATATTAAGCTATGGATGATCCACTGCGTGGAATATCATATTTAGTACTAAACAATCATAAGAAAGTCGAGAAAAGTTACATTTTGTGTGCGCTACAGCACGCGTAAACCCCACCCTTCTGTAATACGGGACGGGGCTTTATAAGGGTTAAAGAGGGAAACATAGCAGGAGAAATAATAATTAAAAAAGTAGAAAGTATAAAGGTAGAAAAACGTAGGAATGGTCGTTTAAATAACCAAACATTTGCAGGCGATAATGAAAATGAGAAATGCAACCAATAGGAAACCAGTCGGCCCATAGTGCCTAATTGGACACAATAATCAGCTATATATATTTTGAGTTAATAAAGAGATTATTTAGAGTTGATTTAGGTATAGTTTCCATGTTATAACGCAACCGCATGTTGACAAAAGGGAAACACGAATGAACTAAAAATAAACTAACTAAAAATAAAATAAAATAAAAACCAAAAAAAACGAAAATAAACTCGAGTTTAGGCCATTATTCGACAAAGCATGCCCAGTGCTACGAAGTAAGTAGACAGTTATGTGAAAAAATGAACTGCAGTGGACCCTAAATTGAACTGTAACCAGTAAGTCTTATGCTTATATTCATTATATAAACTCATCTGCTCACAGAAGTAACCAACGGATTTTCTATGACAAGACGAACGAAGGAAAGTTCAGTGAGCACACATAGCCGCAACAGGACATGTTTCTGGCATATTCCGTCAGTAGACCACTCTTTATCCTGTTCTCTGCCGGTACGGCAGGCCTATGCCTATAGACCTTAAATATACTGGTTTATTGCCGCGAACAGAAGTTAATTTCTAATGAAATTAAAAAGCTGAACCCCCATAATCAGTATAGCAACAAAAAAGCCAACAGTGGAAGCTGGGCGACCCACTGATGAGCCGAACCCTTCACAGCTGTGTCAAGCAGCAGCAGAATACCGGAAAAATAGGCGTCTGGGCCTTTTAGCTAGTATCTGGGGTTGTGAGTATGGTAAGTTACAACAATAATATATACTACTACTATCTGCCCGCTGGCAGCATGTGTATATTACGCAGTGGCTGACGGAATTCAGCGAAAATGAACTATTCAAGTTTCCTTTAAATCTAATGATGTGTACCGTTACAGAAATTAGGTTCCAAGGAAATTAAAAAGCTGAGGCCGACTATTGACATTGAAGAAAACGGAATGGTAAACCTTGTGGCAGACCGGCAATTTTTCCTCCCTGGCAGTAGTTTAGCTTACGCCGAACACAAACTACGTGAGTACACTTGATTCCTTTTATATCTACGTCTTTCGCTTATAAAACAGCTGAAGATGTCGGGCCGTCCAATTTTGACTTGCGGATGCAGATACGACAGATTCCTTTAAGAAAACGCCATATTCATTAGTAAGTCAGCTATCCACTCAGTGGAACGGGGTGATTGATAATAAGAAGTAAACTGTCACATAACTTAGTTCCGATTCTAGCGCTCACGCACGCCGAATGATGATTAATGACCGATAAGCAGTACCAACAGAGACCGCTGTTTCCCGATTTTCATCAAGAATACTGCTCAAGTCATTGACACGCTTTTTTCAAGGTTATAGTTTAAAGAAAATGTAAGTTGCTACCAAATGAGGAGAAAAAAGAATATCTGTATGCTTGTTTTCGATAAAAGATATTTGAATTGATGAGGCGAATAAAATTTAAGCAGAAAAAATCATCCCGATAAAGCAACAAATGTCTATTGAATATTGTCCTCAGAGGTGTTTGGAAATACAGTTTCTGTTCAGTTCAGTTTTATTAGGGAAATATAGGTAAATACCTTTGAACTCCCTCTTTGTTCATAACTATGATGCAGGACATGTGGCGTTGCCAGTAATGGAGCTGCGGTAGGGGGGGCAGACAGTAAAAAAATCCTTAGGCATCTTTCATAAGTCTAGTTTTGAATGTCATTTGTGGGATTTTAAGGAAAAAACTGTTGTTCAAAAGCCGACATCCAGACTTAAGTGATTTATCTTAGAATTTTGCTACCCTACGTCAGAAGTGATTTCCGAATTGAAAAACAAAACATTTCAAAAGTTCCACTGCTAATTCATGAGATAAAAATCTGCGGCACCTTTCAAGTTGTGTATTTATCTAC